CGCGCACCGCCGCCGACGGCTCCAGGCTCGCACCGCCCACTGCGCAGGAGGGCGCGAAATGAAACCGACCCATACAAGACTGCTAGGTCTTCCAAACCCAACGGCAAAAATGCCGTTGTCACACTTCCGTACCCAAAGTCACATATCCCTGGCCCACACTTGCTGACAGCATGAAACAAAGAGGAATAAAAGCAAAGAGGAATAAAGCTCACCTACTCTCTTCCTGCTCTTCAACAAAAAGAAAGCAGCACTGAAAAGGCGTATTTTTCATCAGCTCTTAAAGCAGTAGTATTTTGTATTTTTGATATTGTTAGAGAGACTCTAACTCCCCAAGTTCAGCTACAACAGAGCAGCTGTTGTAGTAGAGGTATGCATACAACATTCCCTAATGGTCAGTAGTGGGCCAGAAGTTAAAGGTTCTAATTAGAAATGCAACCGCTTCCAGTGTTCATGCAAAATGTGGTGAGCTACATCAGCAGCACTGTGACTGACATAAGAGACTCTCAGATGAAAGGCTTATTTTAAGGATCAAATACAGCCTTTTCTGTGTTATAGCACAAGATTCAGTAGAAACATTAAATTTATCTGGCATTGTGGAAGGGCACGGAGGGAAAGTAATACACTGGAAATAGCAACCATCATAGTTTTTGTACTATACGTAGTTGAAATTTATGATAGAACACAAAGTTCAAGTGTCTGAGAACGTGAAAACACTTAAAGCAGTGAGGTGTCATTATAGTCCCTTCACTTTGCAGACTCAAAGCACTTCTAAAAAGTTCACCCTCAAAAATCTTGCCAAGTACTGCATCCTCCTGCAAGTGGCTAAAATAAAGTACAGAAAATTTGATAGTAAAAATTAAATAGATTACCACGGACTACGTACAAAATCAGCCTAAGAGTATAAATTACCTGTCCTGACTCCAGGTTCTGTGCTTTCACTACAAGACCATACTTTTCCATTAACATCTAGGCAACTTCTCAGTTCACCAGCATGCTCCTGCTTGAATGAACATTCATCTTCCAGAAATATCAGTGATTAACCACAGTGTATTCTCTGGACAAGCAACAGTTTACTAAGAACTGTAAAGTGGCCAAAGGAAGCAAGAAACAAAGAACTACTTAAGGGTATATAAAAGAAGAAAAATTGAAATACAGATTCAGGCTTGTTATCAGCATAACACATAACCCAATGTTATATTTACTGTCAAGTGAAGGCCAAGAAACCCAATACCAATCTGTTGGGACACATTATCGGATAATATAATCTGTCCACGAGACACTCACCTGAAAGAAGTCTTGCCAAAGCTAGTCGTGGACCTGTAATTTGAAATTTAAAAGAAAACTTACAAAACAGTTGGAAACTTAATCAATCAAACACCAGAAGTAAAAGGTAAGATTATAAATAAATTTAAACAGTGTCATATAAACAGGAAGTTTCCACCTACTTTAGCTGCCAAATATTATTTTCCCAAGTTAATCAATGACATAAAATAGACTAGATTTTTGACTAACATCTAGGTTTTATACAGGAAAAAAAATCTAAGCTTTCTTCAAGGCTGTTTACAGTTTTACAGAAGGCTTTTGTTCTTACACAGATCTTCACACACTGAATGCCAGGTGCTTAACAGCACTCAACACATTTCAACACTGGGCTCAACTTTGGGGGGGAGGGGAGGTACACACATTAATCTCCAGATTTCCCAGGTACTCAAAATAGGCATTTACAACAAGTATTAGCCACAACTCATGAATTCCAGGAGGGACTTCATGACAAATGTATTAAAAAACCACACACACACATACCCCACCATTTAATTTTAATTTCCAGTATAGCTTCACAGGTTTCATAAAACAAACATATTTCCTCTATTTCAAACTGATTCAGGAAGCCCTTTTGGGTTTAATCATCTCATTTAATCTTTCTGTCTACTGAGAACGTTTTCCTTCTAGAAGGAAGCCTGAACACTGAAAGGTCACAGTGCAACCTCTTGCAGCAGATACACACTTGAAGTTGATTAATATAAGCTGCTCTGGATGTTATAGTAACTGCTACCTGCATTTTCATGCTCAGTTCGAGTCCTTTAGAGGCTTCGCATTTGGACAAGGACACTCCCTGCTTTCTTTCAAACTGAAACCAATTTCTTATTCACTGTTCCCACTTTTCACACAGAAAGACACAGGGATATCTACGACTTACTCGAAACATTTTTTTTTTTTTAAATTTGAAAGAAAAGGAAAGGTCCTATATCCAATATTTGAAACTACTTTTCAACAAATACAGTAAATCTCGTTTTAGGGCTTCCAATGTCAGATCAAGACTGTTATAGCCACATGAGACAGTGTTGATTTAATATAAGTTCGTCTTGCTAGTTCAGAATTTTCTGAATGAATTTGATGAGTTAGCTTCGAAACAGCAAGCTCCAGATCAAATCAGATATTGTTTGTCCACATTATTTTTAAGCCAGATCAGCTACAGTTTGTTCTCCTGCAACCAGCAAGATCACATGCTCCAACTAATTTAGCAGAAATACAATTGTGCAGATCTAGTATCAATGAATGTGAAATCAGGATCTCATAACAGTTGCTTGCTGACCAAGCTAGGGGAATAACTACTGCCTGATGTGCTTTTTTTTTTTTTTTTTTTTTAAAGTTAGCTCAAACAGAAGACATTTTCTGATAGGCTAGGATTACACACACTTTCTCAGTGGCACAATAGCTAGTTTCAGCCCTGTGAACAGGACCGAGATCTTCCTCTGAAGGCCAGAAGTGCCTTAATTACTGACCAGAATCACAGTTTTGACCTACAAAGAGCTGCATCAGCTCGCAACAATACAGAGGTAAAAGCAGCAGTCAATAACAGGCATTTCAAATAGTTCAAAGTGGGACTGGCAAAAACCATCAAGCTCTAAAAATTTTCACCTAGTTACAGGAGCCAAATGCCCATGGATCTGAAAAAGCACCTTTCTAGTCTACAAGCACTACTGACTCATCAAAACACTTCTGAGAAGACGACCTGGTAGGCGAATGAGAACGTCTTGAAATAGTCGTTACAGGACTACTTATCCTCCCTCACTTCACCAGAGACACAAAAGAAATTCACTCCCAAAGAAATTCCAAATAGAAATGCCAGAGGCCTTGTTTCAGGTATATATAATAAACATCTCCTGTAAAGTATTACATGAACATAAAGTTTTCAAAATCTAAAATTCAACATACATTTCAAAGAGATTGAAGTTTAGTGTCTATAGTACCCATAAAAAAAAAAAGCTTTAACGCTAAATCTCTTCTAAAGTAGAAACATTTCAGTGACAGAAAGAAGACTTCCACTACTTCTAAACCATGCGTTCCTACTTCTGATACACATACCACCAGCAGCACACAAATTCAATGCTCTATCAATTCATAGTTTCAGAAGTGGATAAACATATGAAACAATATAGTTTGAGAGCTAGAGCTCTAAACTAAAGCAGTATTTGCTTTAAAAGACATATAGGCCTCAATTCAGGAGAATACTTTGACAGAAAGGTTAAATTAAGTGACTGTTATCAGTGATTTGGAAGGTTTTGAGTTCTTCCAGCTGCAATGAGTTAATTTCTCTTTATTAAGAAAATCACCAGTTGGTAAAGGCTGATACATTAAGATATTCTTTTGGTAGCTAAGAGTACAGATGCAAGTAAAGTTTTAAAGTTTATATAGCTGAATACAGATTTGAATCTATTTCAGATTTTTTAATACTGAGAAATGCCACTTGCTCCTTTTATTTACTATGTTACTTGTTTATTCTTGTCTGCTGAGCTTCATTTGCATGGAAACTGAAATTTGAGTAAATGCACAAAACCAGCACTTAATGTTATTTCAATGATAAAGCTTAACTGAAATACATGTACTAAAAAAGATAAACTGAAGTATAAAACCATATACCTCAAACTTTTAATGAACGATGGTAGTTTTACACATACCTCATCCATACTTCACTTTGGACAAGTGAAGTCCAGCAAGACTGGATCCGATAGATCCTCTGGCATAATCTTTATTTATAGATTGAAGGAAAATAAAAGACAAAAATACCTCCTGCTTCTCAACTGAGAAGTTACTCATTGTACCAAACTGCATGAATCAACCTATAAGAGAATATTATGTTCACATTTGAAGAGGCAATTATTGCTATCAAAAGCTGATTAAGCATTAAAAAAAACTCTAACTACAAGAGCATAGGCCAGTAACTCTTCTCATTCAGATTTTCTTTACCTTGTCCAACAGGTCCTTCTTATATTTTATAATGGTAAACTTACATATTTAAAGTAACATGTTGATACAGGTCTTCAGTAAGTTATCATTTCACATTTTAATACATTTAAGAATAAATCTATTAAACTGAAAGTTGTTTTTTTCTTAAATCACTATTTTATATATTCTAACCCAGGCTAAACTGTATGAGTATGATTAGATTCCAGCATCTTCAGGAAGAAGCCTAACTCCCTTAGTACTTATCCCCTGGAGACTTCAGTCAACAGCACTGCTTAGTAAATAAACACCTGCAAACAAACACTAGAAACATTAGAAAACCCTGACCATCATCATTACAAAAACATACACCTCCCTAGCTAATACTTATGCTTAAGAAGAAGTATAACAAGCAATATTCCCCTAGACTGATACTCACTGAAGCAACAGAAGCCTTAAAAATATTCTCAATAGTTCCAACACAGCAATACCACAATGGTTCTCTTTAAAACCTCATCAACCACCTGAGAAAACTGTCCTTAAACTAGTCCACTGCACTTGAAAACCACTTTTCTTAACTCAGAATTCTCTCAAGTCCACAGCTGAAGTTCCCTGGAGCAGGTACTGCATCTTGTACAGGACCGACTGACCACCAGCCAGGATGCATCGCCTTACTCCACTGCTCGTGGTTGTCAGAAGTCAGTTGCTGAAATAGAGAGCGCTTTTAATGACAGAGCAGCAAGGCTACATACTGCACTGAAGGATGTTCTGACATGGCCTCCGAACAGGTTGCTTATTTTCAACTTGTCACTGAGGTATAAGAGCACCAGTGATTCCAAAAACTGCTCTCCAAAAGTGAAGCTATACTTCAATGATCCTGCCTCTCAGCTACAGGTCCACAAATTTTCACTATCCACTCATTCCACAGCAAGTCTTTACTTCACTAGATGAATCTTATTTCCATTACATTTATTTAAATTTATCCTTACCACTCCCACTACTGCATTCAGTGGGACAGTGGAAGTAAATTACTTTCTAATAAGGCCACAATAAGAGAAAAGCAGACTATGATAACATCACCTCATTTTCAGAGAACAGTTGTTGAAAACTCACAGATCGCCATCAGATAATTATCTGTTCCACAGATAAAGTCATATTACTACAAGTTTCTCAAAACAATTGCTTTTATTTATCGTCCTTCAAATTAAAAACCTATAGAAGAACAGACTACTGCATTTTCATGGTCAGTTCCACAGAAAGATACAATGCTTGGCGGTTCATCCATGCTACTGAAAATGTGCTTAAACACAATCCTTAGGCCATGACTAACAAAAGCAAGTTACTCAGCCCAGGTGTGTTTAGGAGACTGTGAAAGCACAATGGTTACATAGTACAAAGCCCAATAAGCCAAAAATCTTATTAGGACACCACCTCTACCATATCCTCAAATTTAATTCCAACTCCTCCAAATTAGATTCTGAAGTTACGATACCATTTACTAGGAATGATCAAGTTCAATAAATAAATAATACATCTTACAGGCATCTGAATTTTCTGCATGACCTCAGCATGCAGTTTCATGAAGAATATAAGTCCTTAATAAATAACACTAATGAACATTGTTTTACTCATCAGTAGTGTTTTGTCATAGGAAGTTATGCTAGATGACCTCAAAATCCATCAAGAGATTTTACATCATGTTAAGGAACGTTAGCAGTCTACTTCCCTCCATCCCCTTTCATAGATATATACATATATAGATACACACACACACACACATATATATATATATACACACACACCGCATGAGCTTGGAACTGACCCAGTTTCTCCTTGCTCACAAGTGTCGCTCACTGCAATTCATTGTCTTCGTCTGAAGGATAGATTCAATGGGGGTGGGGGGGGCACTTAACCCTCCCGACACCCTCCCCACACACTAAAGCAGTGCGATAGACCCAGCACGCAGCCAAAGCAACAACATCAGAGCTTCCTGAACGGGAACCCTGGCTACGATTTCCTAGGACCCAGAAAATACAGACTTTGTGCTTTATGAATGTGGACACTTATTCCTCAAACTGAAACAGGAAAAATGT